TTTAGCTACTTTTCATTTGTGTGCTGTCTTCCCAGAGCATTTAGCTCTTGCTTTAATTTGTTATGTAACATTCTCACACTTCCATTTCCAGAAACACTGTCTACCACCACTCCCATTTTGGGGAATATTTGTTGAAAGAGATTCAGGAGTTGGAGTTTAAAACTGCATTTTTAATAAAATAGAATTTAATTAACATGTAAGTAAACAAGGAACTTGTAAAGGAGAAAAAAAGAAGCTGTATGACCCTGTCTATCAGACTGCCATCATCAGCTTACTCTAACAGCAGTCTGACCTGTTTAAAAGATATTTGTCCATACTACATTTGTTACTGGATTATGGCACCCTTACTCATTTAAAAAGTACTGGTTAAATAGAGTAAAGTATGGCTTAAAATGAAGACACCTTTTGAGGCACTGTGTCTTTTCTAGGGAATGTTTTGATTCCTTGGAGTCTTGCTTGAGTATTTTATCTTTTAGGCAGTACCTGGGTCACAGCAATACTATTAAACAATATGTAGAATCTAGTGATCCATCAGAATGATACAGCTGGAATTTACTGGTGCACTTATAGTGTGTTGCAACTCGAAAGAATTCAGCTCTTAGTAGGACATCCCAGACTGCCATCATGACTTCTGATGCAAGGATTCAGCTGTGAAAGGATTGCATTACTAAACTCTATGAGGTTGGTGTACATCAGTCCTGATAGCAAAGGCTATTCAGGGAGTGTACATGCTGCATGGACACATGGGCAGCCTGATTTGTGTGGGCCTGCTTGAGTAGAGGTGTTGGACCAAGATGACCTCCAAAGGTCCTTCCAAACACAACCGTTCTGTGATTCTGCAATTCTGAACCAAATTACATTGTCCAGCTGTGCAAGTACAGCATTTTCCTGGCCATGATTCTTTACTCTTGAGGCAGCAGAAGTGCTTCTTGCTGCCACTGAGTATATTCTGAGCTTCCTGCCATCTGAGCTCAGAACCAGGGTTTATGCTGGCAGGAGTAAAGTTCAGACAGAAGTTTGTCTACATCCCGGAGAAAGAGAGTAAACAAAAGTCTTTTTTCGTCGTATTTGTGAATTAAGGTCATATGGTATTATATACAAGTAGCAGTATCAGCTCTCACATGTTAGTGAGTGAAACATACTGATTTTATCAAAACCATCTTTAACTATTTGGAATAAAAACCTTTTCAGAGCTAAATTGTTAAGACAAGAAAACCATAGAAGACCTGCAGAAGACACTCCTCTATTAGACACCATATCACTTGGATCACTTGCTATTACTTAGTCTGTGTCTCTGTCCCAGATGGCCTTTGAGTGGAAAACAGCGCTAACTGTGATTTCCAGACTGGTTTCTGTTTTACTACCTTTACCACGTTCAGTGGCATTTCAAGATACCAACGGTGATTGAAATTTCTATTATTATTATTTAGTGAGAATAAGTACTGAATGTAAGAAGTCACTTGAGGGTTCAAATACAAGTAACAATGATTTTCTGAGGCCAGACTGTGTGGGATAGAGTTTGGACTTCCCATAGCTTGCTGAGCATATCAGCCAGGGTACACATCAAAGTTATGTAAGAACCATTTATTACAGTTTTCCTTCTGAGTAACTTTCTGTTCAGTACAAGTTGATCTCATAATCTGATGTATTTCTTTCATCAGTGTAGGCTGTGTCCTTGCCAACAGGCCGCATTGTTTCTTTGATAGAAAGTAACATTAAAAACCTTTCATGCAACTTGAAGTCTAGGACAGTAGTTCAAAACCAAAACATACTTTCCCTGCTTTCACAAAAGGTATAACTGAGTTATGTATTCATGGCAATTTAATATAACAGTTTTATGAACTTTTTGTTGAATAATGAAATGCTTTAAAAGCAAGGAGGGGAACAAAAAACAGTGGAGAAGAATATTAATCTTGATTGATAACAGATATTTTTTTTCCTAGTAGAAGCCAAATAGTTAGCAAATGATTAATATTTACATACAAACTATGTAAGCAGTGCACTCAAAACTGCAGACTACATTGTCAAATTTTAGATAAGCAGCCATTTCTTCCAAAACAAATAAATCACAACCTGAATATACTTTTATAGTGTAAAAAGCAAGCAAATACTTGAGAGAAACCACAAGCTTAAGTAGCTAAATTGCTTTACTATAATTGCTTTCCTATATGGTAAAAGTACACATACCAGATATCTCTGGAAATAATGAAACTGTAGCTCCTCCAAGAGGCTGTCTTTTCCTGACATGTGGACAAGATGATACAAAGACCAATGAGCCCTACACAAAGTCTGGCACAAAAGTTCTTTGTTCAGGGAACAAAACATTGGTTGACTATCATCACGATTATTCTTTGCAAATATGTTAGTACAACTGAGAGTTATCTTCAAATACCCCATGCTCCTGTGTGTTCCAGAATTTTTATTTTCTGGCACTTTGAATACAGCTGTTTTAAATCACCCTTTATTATTCAGGAAATCACTGTTTCTACTGTTCTATCTAACTAGAAATTTATTTCAATATAATGTATCATTACAAGTTGTTCACATAGTGTGCCAAGTACTAGTTTCATGACCACAGAAGAAAAACTCTATTAAATAATTGATTCATAGTTTAATAATAGTTAAAAAACCAAGCAAACCTCTGCACAACAAAAAACATAGGTTTTAAGAGTGTTTAGAGAAACAATACACAGTGTGTATGCTTAATTTGAAGACTGATCTTAATTATTTAAATATGTTTCAGTCTACTAAATGGGTGCTATGTCCTTCTGTCATTCTTGAATCTTAAATGATTGTGTCTGTAGAGTTGAAATTAATGGTTCCCATCTTTCTTCCTTTGAAGGAAGGAAAGAGGGGAAAAAGATAATGAAGAGGTAAGTCCTCTTATTTTTGACAGATTTTCACTTCATGTTAGTTATCCAAATAACTGGGTGCACATTTTATCTAGAACTTCTGAATACTAAAAAATATTTGTGAATTTCTTCATGTCAGGCAGTCCTAAACAAAATGTATTCTGTGGAAAAGTTCAGAGTTCGTAGATAATACAGCTTCATCTTCATGACTTTCAAAAATACAAAAACCCAAAACAATTTAGGGAAATGCAGGAAGGAATTAATTTGTCTATGGAAAATAAAAAAGTGCTGCAAGGATCCCTTCGGTAGCTGCAGTACTAAAAAAGGGTGATACTCACAAAAGGGGTTTTTGCCAGGCCTTTTGCAAAAGGATAGTTTCCAATTAAACAATAGGTGAAATTTCGTTTACAGTTACACTGTAGTTACGCAGGACACCTTTGCATGATGACTTATTGGACAGTTCTTCTCATTACATGTACATCCCTTTGTTACCTGGAAATGACACTACACAGGATAGAAAGCTGAATCTGGTTCAAAAGATTACTGGAAGCTGGAGGAGCTAAGAAATTCTTTACAATCCTTAACAATTAACAATCTTTAACACTGTAGTTGGAGCAAGAGCACCAATAAAGTGATGTGTATATAAAGGGACCAATAAGGAGACATATATGTGTATATATGCATAATAGGAAGATAAAAATCAGTATCAGAAGATACTAAGTATATAGTTGTTCTGTCACACTTGGTTTATTAATAGCTGGTTTTCAACAGAAATAATACCATTGTATTTTCATATTTATTACTTGAAAAAACTATACCCTGATTTTATAATACAACAGCAAACCAGAATTAGTATGCCAGTGAACCCAGACTTTTCAGTGCATCAGTTTCCTGCAGTTAACACTGTTGTCCTTAACATTATTTTTTATTCACATTTTTTTCATTCTATTGCTCTGCATAATGGAAGGAGACGGTACTCCAATGATTCAAACAGGACACTATCTATCTTTTAGATTTTCATAATTGAATGATTCCTTCCTGAAATCCTTCTGCAGTGCAAGGAAGTTAGAACACAATAATTTTAATGTCACACTCTATCAGATCTATTTGCTAAACAGTCATAAAATATGTAGAACTTGTATTCTTTAGGCTTTAGGTTTAAGACATATGTTTAGTTGGCAGCAGTGGCCTGTATCTCTGTTATAGTAATAGAGATTAGTATGTCATTCACTAAAATATGGCAGTCTGTCATTGGTAGTTTTGTGAAAGATTAAAAATCTTCAGTTATTTTGGTATAAAATGTGTGTGAAGGGATTCTATTAATGGTATCCATATTTAAAATTTGTGAAATGAGCTTGAAGTTAATATCAAGATTTCAAATGCTGGCTCTGGCAATGCATAATTATGAGGTTATGGGTGAGTCATGTCAACTTTGTTTGTTTATTCGTCTATAAAAACTGAGATAATAACATAAATTTATACCCACGAGGATATTTGCAAGATTAATTACATAGGCTGAGATCCAGCAAAGCACTTAAGTGTAAATAAGTCTTTAAGTATATGAATAGTTCTATTGAAAGCAGTATTATTCCTATTCTTGAGAATTTTCCTGGATTAGTACTTTAATGCCTGTGCAGTGTTTTGAGAAAACGACATTGTAAAAATGCTTAGAAACATAAATAGCAAATGTATTACTTAAGGATTGACCGCTATTTATATTTTTAAATTTTTGTTTCATCTGGGACTCTCTCTTATGATTTCTTTCCTGATAAGCCAGCAAAACAGATCTTAGTTATGCTGCTGGTTTTATTTTATAAAAGTGAGCTTATATTCAGGTAAAAGTCAGTAGAAGGAATGGATTTCAATGAATGAACATGTGATTATGAGAAAATGAAATTGTCTGATGTACCTAAAATCAGATTCATTAAGGTATCTAAAAGTACTATATAAATAGCCACATGGTTCTTTGGCAGTGTCTGAATAAGCCATGTGCCCGTGTTATATTTCTATTCTGTGAAATTCAGGTACCTACATACATGATAATAATTTTTTATTTGTCTGTTTTTAAATAAGTCACTTGTGTTCTTTAAAAAAAAAATAAAATAAAATAAAACCAACAACTGCTTGGTAAGATTGCTGTTGAGGGCATCCAGGGAAACATGCACTGTAATTATCATTTATGTATATATTTGCCTTTCCTCTCCAACAGATTTCATTATTTACTTGAAGTTGAAGCATAGCTACACTTCGTTCTGGTCTTACCAATGACCAAGGGTTATCCAACATGAGGTGGGAAGCAGAAGTAGTAATCAAAGCTCAGCATTTTAGTTTGAGGCATAGTTGACAATTAGACCTTGTGGGGTCAGCATTATTTTTACCATATTATATCCTGTTTTCAGTGAATTTTCATTCTAGTTCAAAATTATTGAATTTATTTATGTCCATGCAGGTGACTTTCATTCCTTTATCTGTTACAAAAAGTAAAATTTGCAGAGAAGAAATACTTTAATTGCTTGTTTTGACATAAGTAACATTATTTTATGTTAATTTTTAAGATTTGCTTGGGACACTAGAAGAAATTCTTCCTAACCTCCAAAAAGACGTTAGTGTGTGGATAATGACCAAAGACTCCAGTTTTCCAAGTGTGCATACCCTTCTAGACAAAATAGAGGCTGCATCTGAAGACCCTGTTCCAGTTAATCAACGTTCTGCCAAAAATCTCAAGTCTTCTGTTTTATATATATTTACTTCAGGAACAACAGGTATGGATCTTCTAAAGAGTCTGTATTTTCTGCTTTCATCTAGAAGCTTGATTTTCTGAAACTCTAGTATTTTGGTTCATCTTTTCATAGTAGAATATCATACTTCTTACCTAGAAGCATTATGGTAGAAAATAAGCAAGTTTCTTGTCAGTGGTTGTTTATATTCAGTGGTTTATGGGATTCTCTTCCTTTTTTTTTTTTCCTGCCACATTGTGCAAATACTATGAGAAACTTTACCCTTACTACTTCACAGCTTATGTGTTTATAAAATGTTTTGGGATATTGTTGGTTTTGCAATGGTAATAAATGTTTTGTGATCACATACCACTGCCTAGCTAATACAGCTAACATTGTATCTAGAACCTTGTTAAAAAACAATTTTCAAACAAGCAAATAGGCATTTATTTTTTTCTTCATTAAGTCATGTTCTATTCAGGTTACTGTAGAGACAGAAAATAAGATTAAGTTACTAGCCTTTTAGTTTAGAAACAGATGGCTGAATTTATTACCAGTGCTCCAGCAGCTAAGAAGCTAAGACTTTAAAAAACTGATCACTGGCATGGAAAGGAGCATGATGTTAAGCAGATTGGCATTCTCATTAAGCTAAATATAACAGTTTTAGGCACAAGAAGATGTAAAATGGAGATGTGTTTTATGGCTTTGTTCCCTTGTACAAATATTTATTTATTTGCTTCAGGTTCTAGTGAAAAATTAGGAAATAAAAATGTGAGTCTAGAATAAAAAAAATCAGGAAGATACTGTCAAGAGGTCAGGTATGTTTGTAATACTACAAATATAAACATGGTTGAGCTTGCTGATTAAAAGTAAGGAGTTTCAGCTAAAAAATATTACAGAATTCTCCAGGTAGGAGAATTTTGTTGCTATAACTCCATTCAGAATATCTGTGTGAAGTCTGAAATTTTAGTTACGTAGAGTTTGAACTATTTCTGAACACTTGTAAGTACTACATTAATTTACACTGGATTTCTTTTATGTACTGTGTAAATAAAAGAATAAGATTTGTTTAGTTTTATGAGTGTGGAGTAGCTAATTCAAATTTAAAGTAACTGACCATTTTCATACATTTTGATAAAGCATGAGCATAGTGTTGCTCCTAAAATCAATGACTGGTAAACTTAGTTTAAAGTAAAAAGTATCTTGCACGGTCTAGTCAGCTGTAACGGCAGAAGGAAAAAACTCTGTAGAGCATTTCTTGTTATAAATAGTTCATTGACAACATAGGATTTTATTGCCTCTTTTCTTTACTGTGATGGGTTTTGGAATAGCTCTGAAGTGTAGCTAGAATCTCCATAGATTACACTTCTGGTTAAAAGCTCTAGTTAAGTCTTAAATGAATGGTGACTTTGCTACGGTAGGTTAGAAAAGTTTCTAAACCATTAAAATTTTTGAAACTTTTAGCCGTTCTCACTATTCATCATCAGGACTCAACCTGAAAATCATGTGTGTATGTAAGGACATGTATGAAGGAAGAACACATCCTCTACTCAAAATAATGGGTAACAGAGTAGTATACAAGAAGCCCTTGCATGTGAGTCTGCATGTTGCTGAACAGAAATTCTGTGCTTAAATCTGAAGAAACTCATTAAGCAGAACCTAACTGGAGTGGATGTTTTGCTGGATTTTTTTTTTTTTTTTAATTATACATAGTCTTCAAAGCATTATAAAACAAACTTAGATGTACACATCCTAAAAAAGCACCCACTACATGATCTACTTCATGTACATTCCATACTTTTCTTAATTATTTTACAGTCACTGTGACTCTTGCCTGAAAGAGATCTAGTGTGATACCTTTTTATGTAAAGGAAGTCCACATGTACAGTAAATGTTTCTGACCCTTTGTTGGCTCTATATATTTGATAGCATGATAACCATGGAGCTTCTTCATGTTTCCATCTATTTGAATTGACTTGACTTCAGATTAAATAACTACAAAATGAGGTTGCAAACTGACATATATCTTTATATGTACAGAACAAACATGAAATACTGTATTAAACAGCCAGTTGTCTATTCTGTCATCTAAACAGATGGCTGAAAATTTGGTTATGAAAGAAAGAATTCATTCTATTATGATTTTAGAGACCTTATAAGGGAAAAAAAAAAAAAAAAAAAAAAAAGTTATCTTTAAGAGAAGCTTTATGCACGGTTTTGTGTTTTCATTGCAGGTCTTCCAAAAGCTGCAGTTATCAGTCACATACAAGTTCTTAAAGGAGCTGCTGGACTGTGGGCTTTTGGTGCTACTGCAGAAGACATCATTTATATTACTCTGCCTCTTTATCACAGTGCAGCATCTCTTCTTGGTATTGGTGGATGTGTTGAATTGGGTAGGGCTCATTTCATTTAATTGTGTTGTTAATAGAGAATTATTTATTATAAAAATGTGTAAAATATGCTTAGGTTCACTGCCATTAGGGAAACTAATGCTTTGCTGAAATCAAATATATAGTATTTTTGGAATAGTTTTATATTTCATTATTTTGGGAATGGAGGGTTTGTAATAGCAAAGGCTCTCTTACAAGCTATTTTTTTTGGTACTAGAGAAGAATTAATTATAGTCACTTGTGTCACAAATGTTTTTATTTTCTCTTATATTTAGGTAAAATGGAAATTAGGGTCATGTAATATTTTGGCAGTGTGTATAGTGCATTAGTATATGTATAGACTAAGCATTGTACAGTGGAATAGAACTAAGATGTATTTTGGGGAACTTAAAAAGACTGACAAATACAGTTATAGTAAATATTCAGCTTTGTCATATCTTATTGGATGATACAGGTTTTTTCCCATTTCATTTTTGTCCTGTTTTGTCACTGAATCAAATACATATTTTACTGAGACAATATAGGTGTCCTTAATAACTCTTATAATGGAACTTGGTGGCAAATATTTCCTGTTTCCTGAAGCCTCAAGGACAAGTCAGAGCAAAGGAAAGATCATTGGATTATGGATGAATTCTCCCTGACTGCATCGATTAATACTTTCTTTGTGAAAAATGAGGTTTCAGTGCTAATTCAGGCTGACTTTTCTAGATATTTTCAGTTAGAATCTTTTGAATAATGTTACCCTACCAACAAAGAGAAGCTGTCTTCTTGTTTATAACCTCTTATCTATCGGTTTGCTGTCTCACCAAGGAGGAGGCCAGGTCCATCTCCCTTCTTTGTCTACCAGGTTTGACTACATCTTAAATACCATATAGCTCTCTGAATGAGGCTGTTCTGAGTTCCTCTTATGTTCTATTTTGTAGAAATAGTGACCATAGCTAGCTAAGCTGTCATATAGAGAAAATGTTTCATTTCCTTTTCTACTGTTTCCCTAAAGGTGCAACCTGTGTCTTAAAAAAGAAGTTTTCAGCTAGTCAATTTTGGAGTGACTGCAAAAAGTACAATGTGACTGTCATCCAGTACATTGGAGAACTTTGCCGTTACCTTTGCAGCCAGCCACTGGTAAGTGGAACCAAAATGATGGCTATTTGTCTGTAAGTGATATGCACATTTATTGTTCTTATTGTGGTTATGTTAAAAGGTAAATAAAACTGTACTGAACCTGACCCTCTGCCCGTCTTTTTATGTGAGGTTCTTAAAATTAGTGATCTTTAGACTGAAAAAAAAAACCAAAACCCCAAACCAAAAACAAAACCAAAACTAAACCAAATGGCTTGAATCAGGAAGATGTTATAGCATTAAAAGAAAAGATTTTGAAACTAAAACCTGATTCAGTATTATTGAGTGAAAAAATATGGTTTCACAGAGTTTCTCAATGTGAGTTTAGAAAACCAGGATTGCTGTTCAGTGTCTTTCCAGAAATTTCTAAACTTGGCACATAAGTATATCAGAGGTCTCAACTTTTGTAGGCCATGTTTTAGCACTGTTTTGAATTGTGGAATGTGCTTGTTTTGAGACAATATAAACTATATTTTAAAATTTGGAAGCAGTGTGGTCTAGGTTAACAGCTGAGGTTATACCATTTGTTCCAACTAGAAGGCTATTCCAAATAACAAAGCAAGTTTTGTTAAAGTGATATTCCTCTCTGAAACTGTGTTAACACCAACTTGAAAAGACTTCCCTTGGCAGTTAGTGGTGTGGTGGTCTATCTACATAGTATCAAGTACAAAGTATGTTGAACCTGTTGTAATTACCGAATGTAGCTGACTTGGATAACTAAATTAACTTTTGATCTGGCTATTTTCTGGTATGTTTCTGTATCAATCTGTTGATGATAGAGAGACACCAAGATTTTAGGCTAAGCTAAATGCCTAAAATTCATTGGAATTAATTCAAGATGTATAAAATAATATAGATGGAATGGATTTAACCTGTTCATAGCAAACCCAACTGTCTTTCTATCCTCAAATGCTTGTGCTAAATGTGTCACAATGAATATGAAACAAACATCCATAGCCCAGTATAAGCTAAAATTAATCTTCCTAACACTGGCAGCTTCCATTCATTTATGAACTACAGGTTGTCCTACTGTGTTTTAATCCTAAATGTTGCACCATACATTATTTTAACTGCTTAAGAATTTTAATAAATTACTTTACACAGTTATTTATGATCATAAACAGATTTTATTTATACATAACAATAAATTACATCTTCTAAGTACCTGTATAACATTAAGCAAAAAAGCACTCTATCCTCTTTTAATTTAACAAAATGTTTAGAACACAATGACATTTGTAAAAATGTACAGTTGTATGCAATGCAACTATTATGTCTTTGCACATTCTCCCTTTGCCTCTACCATAATTTAATTGTATGATTTCAAAAAAATAATTAGTAATTTATTTCTGTTTCAGTGAATTTTATTGAAATGACTCATCTCTTCAGAAATGGTGCCAGTGACTCAAATTAATTAATCTGAAAATTCTTTTCTAATCCAAGTCCTTATTTTATGATTTTCCAGAATAACCTCCTCTTTAAGCAGTGTTCTGATAATTTGAAGAGAGTGCAAATCAGCCTTGTGTTCCAGCAGAAAAACAAATAGCTTTAATATCTCAAGTTGCTGACCAAAGAATGGAAAAGGTCAGTGACCACAATTCACAAGATATAGGATTTTTTTTTCTCCTGAAAATGTTCTGATGTTTAAGTAATATAGCAGTGCATCATAGATCCTACACCACTATCCATGCATACCTCAGCAAAGAGAATGTTCTTGAATGGAAGAGGGCATGGCTGGTATTCCAGTGACCACTGCTGTCTGTGATGTGAAACCAGAATAGAATGAATCATAAAATCATTCAGGTTGAAAAGACCCTTGGGATCATCGAGTCTAACCATCAGCCCTACTCTAAAAGTTCTCCTTACACTATATCCCCCAACATCTCATCTAAACCACCCTTAAACACATCCAGGGATGGGGACTCCACCACCTCCCTGGGCAGCCTGTTCCACTGTCTGACCACTCCTTCTGTGAAAAATTTTCTCCTAATGTCCAGTCTGAACCTCCCCTGTTGCAGTTTAAAGCCATTCCCTCTTGTTCTGTCACTAAACACCTGTGAGAAGAGACCAGCACCAACGGTTCTACAATGTCCTTTCAGGTAGCTTTAGGGAGTGATGAGGTCTCCTTTCAGTCTTCTCCTCAGACTGAACAGTCCCAACTCCTTCTGTCGCTCCTCATAGGATTTATTCTCCAGGCCCTTCACCAGCTTCATTGCCCTCCTCTGCACTCGCTCCAGCACCTCGATATCTCTCTTGTATTGAGGTGCCCAAAACTGGACACAACACTCCAGGTGTGGCCTCACCAGTGCAGAGCACAGGGGGACTGTCACCTCCCTACTTCTGCTGGTCACACTGTTTCTGACACAAGCCAGGATGCCGTTGGCTTTCTTGGCCACCCGGGCACACTGCTGGCTTGTGTTCAGCTGCTTGTCAATGAGAACCCCCAGATCCTTCTCTCCCAGACAGCTCCAGCCACACCTGCCCAAGCCTGTAGCCATGCAGGGGGCTGTTGTGGCCCAAGTGCAGGACCTGGCACTTGGCCTTGTTGAAGCTCATCCTGTTGACATTGGCCCACTGATCCAATCTATCCAAGTCTCTCTGCAGAGACTCCCTGTCCTCATGCAGACCGACACTCCCGCTTAACTTGGTGTCATCTGTTAATTTCTGATGATACACTCTATGTCCTTATCAAGATCATCAATAGAGATGTTGAACAGAAATGGTCCCAACACCAAGCCCTGAGGTCACCACTTGTGACCGGCCACCAGCTGGATTTAGCTCCACTGACCACCACTCTATGGGACCGTCCAGCCAGCCAGTGCTTGATCCAGCAGACCATTCGCTCATCCAGGCCATGAGCAGCCACATTTTCTATGGGAATTCTGTGGGGAACTGTGTTGAATGCTTTTTGAAAATCCAGGTAGACAATATGCACAGCTCTTCCCTCATCCAATAGTCGGGTCATCTTGCCGTAGAAGGAGATCGGGTTTGTCAGGCAGGACCTGCCTTTCATAAACCCATGCTGACTGGGCCTGATCCCCTGATTGTCCATTATATGACTTGTAATGGCACTCGAGATGACCTGCTCCATGACCTTCCCTGGCACTGAGGTCAGACTGACAGGTCTCTAGTTTCCTCCTTTCTGCCTCTCTTGTAGATGGGTGTCACATTTGCCACCCTCCAGTCCAATGGGGCCTCCTCAGTTAGCCATGACTTCAGGTAAATCATGCACAGCAACCTGGCGAGCACATCTGCCAACTCTTTCAGCACCCTTAGGTGTAGCCCATCCAGTCCCACAGACTTGTGTGCATCCAAGTGGTGCAGCAGGTCTCTGACCACCTCCTCTTCAACTGTGCTGACCTCAGTCTGCCTCCCCTCCCCATGTCCCAGCTCAGGCAAAGTATGCAAAGTTGAGCACCTCAGCCTTTTCCTCATCCTTAGTTACCATGTTCCCCTCTGCATCTAGTAAAGGAGGTAGATTTTCCCTAATCCTCCTTTTGCTGTTAACAAATTTATTGAAACATTTTTTGTTATCTTTTAACAGCTGTAGCCAAGTTGAGCTCTAGCTGCGCTTTGGCTCTCCTAACATTCTCCCTTCATAAATTCACTACATCTTTATAGTCTTCATGAGAGACCTGCCCCCTCTTCCAAAGGTCATAGATTCTCCTTTTGTTCTTGAGATCCAGCCAAAGGTCCCTGTTTAGCCAGGCCAGTCTCCTTCCCCGCCTACTTGTTTCCCAGCACATGGGAACAGCCTGTTCCTGTGCCCTAAGACTTCTCTCCTGAAATATGTCCAGCCTTCCTGGACTCCCATTTCTTTCAGAGCAGCGTCCCAAGGGATTTTGTTAATCAGTCTTTTGAACAGGTCAAAGTTAGCCCTGCAGAAGTCTGAAGTGGCAGTTTTACTAACCCCCCTCTATGTTTCTCCAAGGATCAAAACTTCAATCATCTCACAATCACTGCACCGTAGACGGCCTCCCACTTTTACTTCCCCCACAAGCTCTTCCCTGTTCACAAGAAGCAGGTTCAGGAGGCACCTTCACTGGTTGGCTCACTCACCAGCTGTGTGAGGAAGTTATCCTCCACACATTCCAGGAACATCCTAGATTGTTCCCTCTCTGCTGTGCTGTGATCCCAGCAGATACCCGGGAGGTTTAAGTCTCCCACAAGAACAATGGCAAGTGACCACGAGATTTCTCCCAACTGTTTATATAAGGCTTCATCCACCTCACTCCCACAGCAAGATCTTCTTTACTGGCCCTTAACCTAATCCACACATTCTCAACCCTGTTATCTCTATACTTGATTTCTGAGCTCTCATAGCATTCTCTTATGTACAGGGCCACTCCACCGTCTCTCCTTCCCTGTCTATCCCTCCTGAAGAGCTTGTAGCCATTGACTGCAGCACTCCAGTCATGTGAGGCATCCCACCATGTTTCTGTTATAGCTACTATGTCATAGTTCTCATGCTGCATCATGGCCTCAAGCTCCCCCTGTTTGTTGCTCATACTGCATGCATTGGTATAGATACACTTGAGATGAGGTAGTGAATCCAGCACCTTTTTGTGAGTGTGGGCCCCATTTCTCACCAGAACCTTCTCAGGTGCTTCCATGGTTTCTAAATATCTTTCCTTTGTCTCAAATGAAGTAGCAGAGGGAGAGCCCTCACCAGTCCACCATCCTTCAAGACTTGGGACTTTTCCCTTGAGCTTGTTCCTCACAGGCTCAGTTATCTCCCCGTCCCCCCTCATATCTAGTTTAAAGCCCTGTCAATAAGACCTGCTAACTCCTGCCCCAGAATCCTTTTCCCCCTCTGGGACAGCTGAATCCCACCTGTCTCATTTGTCACCAGCAGACCAGGTGCCTTATACACCTCGCTATGGTCAAGGAACCCAAATTCCAACAGTGGCATCAGTCTCTGAGCCATGTGTTAATCAGATATGTTTTCCACCCTCTTTCAGTTGGTTTTCCCTTCCATTTGAGGGATTGATGAAAACATGACC